GAAGAAATGATGAAGGAAAAGAACTGAATAGAAAGTATCAAAGGGCAGCTCAAGAAGACAAAAAGTAAAATATAATGAAATGTGTGAAGACCAGGAGTTAGAAAACCAAAAGGAATGAACATGCTCAGTATTACTCAAGCTGAAAGAACCAAAGAAAACTTTCAAATCTCAGGTTAACAATACTGGAGGATTTTTATGGACAAAATATTGAATGATGCAAGCATCAAAAGGAGATGGAAGGAACAGAGTGACTATATCAAAAAGAATTAGTTGATGTTCAATATGACCAAGAAGTGATGGTATTAAAGGAAGAAGTCCAAACTGTACTGAAGGCATTGGCAATAAACAATAAACAGAAATTGACAGAATACAAAGTTAAGTCTTTTAACAAACTGATGCAGCATTGGAGTTGCTCATTCATCTATGCCAAGAAATGTGGAAGACAGCTAGCTTGTCATCCAGTTGGAGGAGCTATCCATATTTGTGCCCATTCCAAAGAAAGGTCACTCAATGGAATGTGAAAATGAACAAGGAAGACTGAAGAAGAATTGATGCTTTGAACTATGGTGTTTGCGAAGAATTTTTAATATACTGCCAGAGAATGAATAAATCTGTAGGATGCATAGCCAGGATGTGCTCCTTAGAAGGGATGATGGCAAAACTTTATCTTACTGTCTTTGAAGATGTGATCAGGAGGGAATGAGCCAGAAAAGAACAAGCCTACTACCATTGAGTTGATTCCAACTCTTCGTGACCCTGTATAGAGTTCCTGAGATTGTAAATCTTTATGGAAGCAGAAAACCTCATCATTCTCCTACAGTGTAGCTGGGTGGCCAACCTTGCAGTTATTAGTCTAATGGTTATCCTAAAGTGCCACCAGAGCCTTGGGAAAGGACATCATGCTTGGTTAGAGGATCAGCAAAAAGGAGGAAGACCGTCAAGGAGATGGATTGACACAGTAACTGAACAAAGGGCTCAAACATAGGAATGATAGTAAGAATGGCACAGGGTTAGGCACTGGTTCATTCTGTTGTACATAGGTTTGCTGTGCACAACATAGCATCAGAACCAGCTTGATGGCACCTAAGAACAGCAGCAGCAAAGACAAGAAGTAATTTGACTTTTGGGGAATTATGTAGTTTTATTGGATAACTTCGTTAGAAACATTGACATACATAGGCATTGGTGGTGTTAGTAGTAAGGATGATATTGGCATATCAGGGAAAGTTATCTTTATGACTTTCTCAAAGTTACGACTTTATGTTGACTTTCCCATTTAACATGCTGCTGTGCCTTATTCCATGAATACTGTTTGGTGGGCTCTGGTAGTGTAGTGGTTACGAATCAGGCTGCTAACCTCAAGGTCAGCAGTTCGAAACTACCAGCTGTTACGCAGGAGAGTTGGTTCTGACTCATAGCGACCCTGTACAGGTTTCCGAGGCTATACATCTTTATAGGAGCAGAAAGCCTCATCTTTCTCCCGCGGAACAGCTGGTAGTTTCGAACTGCTGACCCTGAGGTTAGCAGCCCAATTAGTAACCACTACGCTACCAGAGCTCATTTGAATACTGCTTAGCTTTATTAAAAAACAAACAAACAAACAAACAAAACTTGCTACTGCACTAAAAATTAAGGGACAGAATAGTGTAGTCTGGATCCTACTTGAATTGAATCTGTAATCATGATGTTATTATTGTTGTTGTTAAGTGCCATCAAGTCGATTCCAACCCATAGCGACTGTGTATATGGTTTCCAAGGAGCAGTTGGTGAGCTTGAGCCACCAATGTTGCAGCTCAAATGACTTTGCAGTCTGACGCATTAGCCCACAGTGCCACATACTGTATAAATACCTCCTTTTCCTCCATTCATTTATCCAACAAATACTAGAGTTTGTATAATGTGTCAATTATATGATTAGTTGATGGGTATATTGATGACCATAAAGATGACCATAAAGAGTATATTTACTGAGGAGTTAGCATATATTTGAAGTTCTTGGAACAGTTGGAGCAAAGGTACCTGGGTTAAGAGTAGGCATGAACCATTTAAGAATTCCACTTTATCTCTACTTGTTTGTGATTGTTCTGTTCATGCAAACTGAGTTTAATAGAACATGATCTACTTCCGTGGGAACTTTATTTCAGACTGTCATTATCTAAAGATGGCTTTAGCAAACACATTTATTATCTCATAGATTAGGAGGCTGAAAGTTAGAATTCAGGATGCCTCTTCTTGTGGAAAACTTTTTCTGCTGGCTGTGGTGAAAAGCCCTTGTCTGCTTTCAACATCTGTGGACCTGGCTTTCTTTGAAAAGACACATCATGTGTCTTGGCATCTATCTTCCTCTGAGTCTAGGAGGTTCTTAGCAGTGGGATCACAGGTCCAAAGGATGCTCTCTGCTCCCAGTTCTTCTGTCTTGGTGATAGCGAGGTACCTCTCCCCTCTGCTTCCTTCTTTCTCCTTTTATTTCTTGTAAGATAAAATATATGACTCAAGCAAGGATGGGACTTGGTGCAAGTAATAAGTAACATCCTAACCTGAGTACTTGAGTAAGGGTGGTGACTTGACTGAAGGTGTGACTTCAGTAATTCTCTCTAGTAAGGCTCCAGATACAACCTACCCTAATCTTGCCTCTTTAACATATAAAGGTTGGGATTTACATAACACAAAAAGGATGATAATTACATCAGAAGTTACAATCTGACATATCTTCCCCTAAATTGGAGATTTGTTAGATTGTAACTTCTGTGTGTGGGCTATAGGACAAGTTCTGAACTACAAGGCCAGTTTGAACTACAGGATTGGTGGTTCAGATTCACCAGCCGCATCTTGAAAACCTCATACAGGGTTGCTATGAGTAAGGATGAACTTGAAGGCACTTAACAACAACAATGCCCTCATAAATTTGTGAACTACACATGTTAAGGTGCTAGAACAGTGTCTAACACAATACTTACTGGGCTACTTAATCACAAGCTCAGCAATTTGAGTCCACCAGCCACTGGGACAAAGATGAGGCCTTTTCTGCTCCTGTAAAGATTTACAGCCTTGGAAACCTTGTGCAAGTTCGCTCTGAGTGGTAACTAACTCAACAGCACGCAACTACAACCAACCACTATTAGAATTTTTTCATATGTAAATTAAGTTTTATAATAACATGACACATTTTCACAGCTATACATTTGAAACCTAAATATTTTACATTTAAAAGTTTGTTTTGTATATATGAAACTACATCTAAGGCACATTTAAAATTATTTGTATCTGTTTTAATAATAATTTGTTAATTTCTTGCAACTTGTATTTACCAATTTCTCTTTAAAAGTTGATAACATTTGAGATCCCTTAGAACAACATTTGAGAACATTGAACATTGAGGTGGCTCTTTAGAATAAGCATTGAACTGCAAACCACAAGGTCTGTGTTTCAAGTCTACTGACCTGTCAGAGAAAGATGAGGCTTTCTGTTCCCACAAAGATATGCAACCTCGGAAACTTCATACCAAGTCTCTATGAGTCGGGACTAACTCAACAGCACTTAACAACAACAAAACATTGATTTTTAAAGAACATTGACTGATATAATTATGTTGTTTTTTTGCTGTTGAGGTTAATTGCAACTCTTAACAACACCATAGACAGAGAAGAGTGCAGCATCGTTTCCAAGACTCATCTTTATGGAAGCTGACTACTTTATATCCCATGGCTGGTGGGTTTGAACTGTCTACCTTTCAGTTAGCAGCTTAGTGCTCAACCACTGTGCCACCAGGGCTTCTATCTAATCTTAGGAATTTATATATGTGGGGTCATTTACCCCCTATTACTTTTTAGAAAACCTTTTTATTGTGAATTGAGTGAAGGTTTACAGAGAAGATCATTGGTTTTACATATAACAATTCATACACTTTGTTACATCTCAATGATTGCAATCCCTGTTACTTTTTTAATCTTATTTTTCAGTGATTATTGGCAGGCGGGAGACCATGATTCTTTTAGTTTGTAAAAGCCCCCACCACTATTACTGTACCCCAAGAGCCACTGCAACTCACTGGTGTGTAATATAGTTGTTAAAGATGGAAACATGCTATATTTATGGATGCTATGAAAGAGTGGGGGAAAAGGATGGAATTACAGTTTAATCTTAAATCTGTATATGTTTTTTTCCTGCTTTATTGTTATTTTCTTTTCTTTTTTTTGGAACTTTATTAAATAATTTATTTCTCCCTATCTATGAGACATGGAGTTTGGTGACTCCATACAATAAGCACTGGACTGTGAACCATAAGATTCACAGTATGAGCCCCCACTAGTCACTCTATGGGAGAAAGGTAAGGCTTTGTGCTCCCACGAAGATTTTAAGCCTTGGAAATCCTCCACAGAGTGGTTACTGAGTTGGTGGCACTTAACAACAACAACAGTCTATGAGATAGGCCCTCTCAAGCTAGGAACCCAGGTTATTGGGAAGGAGTGTATTAAGGAAATTAGTGTATCAACTCATCTGTCTTTTTTTTTTTTTTGACTCTGTATATTTCGCTTTCTTGTTTATGTTCATGATTATGGCATACTTTCATTTATACTGGAGTTTTTAATGAATTACCCAAGAATGTCATTAACATCCTATTTAATTCAGAAATGGATTAACTCTTTAGCACTTAAAGTGGCGGGGGTGGGGCTCATACCGTGAATCTTATGGTTCACTGTCCAGTGCTTATTGTATGGAATCACCACACTCCATGTCTCATAGATAGGAAGCAATAAATAATTTAGCACAGAAATGAAAATAAGTTGTACTGATAAGATAAAATTCTTAGACTATATGAGAGGGCTTCAAAAAGTTTGTGGAAAAATTGATTTAAAAGATAATGGAATTTTTCCATAATAATGGAATTTTTCCATGAAATTTTAGAAGCTCCCTCATATGTTCTCTTGCTAAGAGACATTTTATTATGATCCTTTTTGCTAACTTAGTGTCTTGTTCTTGTATTTTGGTTTTTTAGATCGGCTTCAGCTCCCCCGGAATATGATTGAAAACAGCATGTTTGAGGAAGAACCAGATGTGGTAGATTTAGCCAAAGAGCCTTGTTTACATCCTCTAGAGCCTGATGAGGTGGAATACGAGCCACGAGGTTCACGTCTGCTGGTGCGAGGTCTTGGGGAACATGAGCTGGACGAGGATGAAGAGGATTATGAGTCATCTGCAAAGCTGCTGGGCATGTCTTTCATGAACAGAAGCTCAGGCCTTCGGAACAGTGCAGCTGGTTATAGGCAGAGTCCTGATGGCACTTGTTCAATACCCTCTGCGAGGACCATGGTGATCTGTGCTTTTGTCATTGTGGTTGCCATTTCTGTTATCATGGTGATTTACCTATTGCCCAAATGTACCTTTACCAAAGAAGGCTGCCATAAAAAAAACCAGTCAATGGGACTAATACAGCCAGTTGCAACAAATGGGAAATTGTTTCCATGGGCACAAAACAGGCTTCCCACTGCCATTAAGCCACTACGCTATGAACTTAACATACACCCAAACTTAACCTCAATGACATTCAGGGGTTCTGTGACGATCTCAGTTCAAGCTCTTCAGGCCACGTGGAAAATCATTCTTCATAGCACAGGTCATAATATTTCAAGAGTGACCTTTATGCCAGCAGTTTCAAGTCAGGAAAAACAAGTTGAAGTCTTGGAATACCCATTTCATGAACAAATTGCCATTGTTGCCCCCGAAGCCCTTCTAGAAGGGCACAATTATACCTTGAAAATAGAATTTTCAGCAAATATATCTCGCTCTTATTATGGGTTTTATGGCATCTCCTACACAGATGAAAGTAAAGAGAAAAAGTACGTTGCGTTTTAAATCATTCTGATTCTATGCTCTGCGATAATCTCTAGTATATTGCAGTTTATTAATGTTCAACGTAGTTGGTTATGTGCAAAGTAGTAGAATCGTGATCTGGAGGAATGTACAACTTCTCTCTTTGTCAAAGCCTTAGGTATATGTAGTAGTGGGGTGGTGGTATGGATGTGTGGTGAAGAGGACAGAAAAAGGTTCAATCATATACATTATCTTTTACAGAAATTTTAATTATTTTAAGCTTTTATATGTCTTATAGTTTAATTTTCTAGTGCCTCCCAAAATTTGTATTAAAAGCAGAATGGAGAAGACTTTGGGTTATTTCTTAGCCTTGATGGTGCAGTGGTTTAATACCTTACTAACTGAAAGGTCAACGTTTCAGACACAACGGTCCTTCTGTGGAGGGAAAAATGAGGCAGTCTGCTTCCATAAAGTTTACAGCTTCAGTACCCCTTGGTAGCAGTTGGAATCAACTCGATGGTAGTGATGTTGTTTTTTTAAACTTACTTGAAGTGCTGATTTGACAGCACACAAGAACAAAATCTCAAGTAGCGTAGTAGTTATGAATCGGGCTCCTAATGTCAAGGTTATCAGCTCGAAACTACAAATCATTCCATGGGAGAAATAAAGATGAGGCTTTCTGCTCCCGTGAAGATTTACAGCCTGGGAAACTCTATGCAGGGTCACTATAAGTCGGAACCAACTCCACGGCCCACCACCACCACCACCAGTACTATATGCCTACTTAGATCGTTTTTAGTATCCGTAATCTTTGCTGGTTTAATTTAAAAGTGTTACTACTTTGGCACAGTGGGCTAATGCACTGGACTGCAAGGCTGCTTTGAATTCCAAGGTTGGTGCTTCAAATTCACCAGCTGCATCTCTGAAACCCTGTACAGGGTTGCTATGGGTAAGAACCGCCTCTACAGCACTTAACAACAACAACAACTAACTTCTTTGGACTTTTCATGGAAGTTTGTTTTTAAGCTTTTATTGTGAATTGAGTGACATGACAGAACATTGGTTTTGCACTCAACCAATTGTGTTCTGTTTCATTGCAATGATTATAGTCCCTTCCATGCACCATCAGTTAACAATATTTGCCTCTGTTTTGTTTTGTTTTTTATGTACACAAAATACACAGGATTATATATTTTCATTTAAAAAACCAAAGGACTCATTTTCCAAGTTAGCCTCCTGCCTGCCAGCACAAAGCCTTTCATTTTCCATGGTTCTAGAGTCCTGAGCTGCTCTGTCTCTTCTTACCATTACCTCTGCTTCAATCTCTGGTGTTGCTGCTTCTCGGGTTAGAATCCCATGTTCTGCTCATTCTCTTCCCTCTTGATGGTCCTAGGGTCCTCTGTTCCTGGAATGTAAGATTAACTACTCTCCCCTTTTTGTTACAGAACGTCTACCTTTACAGTTGTAACTGTCATAATTAGTCATGATAACAATTACTCACCAGACCCATCTAGACAAGACCACAACTATTCAGTGGGGATTCTACCCCCAACCCCTTGCTCTGAAACGAAAACTCACTCTTGAAAACTTGTAAGCCAGCCACCTCGTGCCTTTATAGCTCCCCCATTTTAGGTAGCCAATGTCTAAGTTTTCCATCCCTATCAACGCTTTGTACTGAGGGGATAAGCTTGGTACGAAGACTCCTTCTCTCTAGGTTGGCATTTTAAGCAACAGCACCCATAAACAAAGGTCAAGTTCATCATATTGTAGCAATTTACAAATGCTTCCTGTATCAAACTTCTTTATCTTCTTCTAGTCGAATTCTGATCAGCAAGCCATCCAGGCTAGGTCAGATGAGTACTGTCTGCAAGTTTAGGCATGCAAGTTTAGGCATACTTGTACACCTCCCCCCACTTGTTATCAGCTGGCCACTTCACAGTTCTAGACCCCAGTGGCTAGGACAGTGTCCTAGGGCTCAGGAGCTCCCAAGTCTCCTCAGACTTTGGACCAACCAGCCCTTCCTCTTCTCTCTCTCATCTCAAGGTTAATTAATGGAAAATGTTAAACAATAAGCCAAGGAGATTATTATTATTATTTAGTTATTCTGGTTTAAGAAAATAAAGTGAGATGAAAATGTAGGTATCCAGTTTCCTACTTAGAGCTATTTTGTATTTTAATCTTCAAATTCAGAGCATGTAGTTTGCATTTCTGGAAATGTGTAATGCAGGCTGCATACAGGTTATTCTTGTGGGGCCACAATGTCAGCTGTCATTCTGTGCATAGACCTCTTTCAGATCGGCTTTATATAATTTGAGCATTTGCTCATATTTCTCTGTGAACTATGTGAAGCACTGAATCACTGACGTTAGTGTATATTGATAATATTGAGAGAAATAGTCAGGAATGAATATTGAAACCTATCTTTAGGAAACTCTTGGATCATTAAATAGGAAAAAAAAAGTAAGTATTATCTGTAGTTCCGATCTGCTCTGTATACTTTCACTCAGTTCAAAACAGAATGCTTAAAAAAAAGAAAGAATTATCAATGGATGCTAAATCTAGGAGCTAAAAGTCTGATAATTTAAAAAAGATTAAGTAACTCTTTTCCCTTTATCCAGTACTTTTTGAGTAAATGGCATGCTGACTTGACAATTCAGTTAGCTTGCACTAGAATTGACATTGAAAGAATATTTGTCATAGCAATGATGGTTTGGGGTTTCTTAATTTAAGTCTTCCTTTAATCTTCATCATCCCTAGGAAATATAAACGTAAAAGCAATGTTATTAATATGTAAACAGACTTTTAAGGCAAGTCTGCTCACCATGTCTTCATATTACTGCCTTTTGAATTTCTTGTACCTGGAGAAATAAGAAGAAATAAATGTGTAACATCATTTAAATTATTTAATAAATATAATCACTTGACTCTTGCCACAGACTGGATGTAAGGAATACAGTTTTTATAAAATTAATACTTACAGAATGTTAAACAAGAGTATTTTTTAAACTAGTGAAATAAATTAGTCTGTGAAACTGCTATTTCATTATTTTACTAAACCAGATAGTGATTTAGTTAAATAAATCTCCCATGTGATTGTATCTCTTGATACAAGATGAAAGTTAAAAAAAATTATTTATGAAGACGACTTGAAATAATTAATGATGAAGGTCAAAGACTATAGTCTTCAGTATGGCTTGCAACTCAATGAAAGAAAACAAATATCCTTACCGCTGGATAATAAACATCATCATAATAAATGGAGAAAAGATTTAAGTTGTCAAAGAGTTCAGTTTGCTTGGATCCACAATCAGTGCTCATGGAAGCAACAGTCAAGAAATCAGGTGACATATTACATCAGGCGGATGCACCTAATCCAACACATGATATTTTCAGTCACTTTATGATTGAAAATGTGAAATGTGAATGTGAAAGTTGGACAATAAATAAGCAAGACCATAGTAGAATCGATGCATTTGAACTAAGGTGTTAGTGAAGAATGTTGAAAGTACTATGGACAGCATTATTTGGAGAGCCCAGTCCCTCGAAAAGGGCATCATGCTTAGAAAAGTGAAAGGACAGCCAAATAGAGGAAACCCCAACCACAGAAGGATTGACAAAGTGGCCTCAACAACAGGCTCAAACATTACAGTAATTGTGAGATGACATAAGCAAGAACAGTGTTTTGTTCTGTTTTGCATAGGGTCACTATGAATTGACTCAACAGCACCTAACAACAACAAAAGAAGTGTGCATAGAATGATCAAGAAAGGAATCATGAAGAGACCCAGTATCAGCATGGGAAGGAAAATCCAAAATGGGTTCAAAAAAGAGTAACTCTAAGAGTCAACTATGAGGCAAAGAACAGGAGTGTGGTGGGTGGCCCAAGGGAAAGGAGATGACTCTAGGACTGAATACATCAGAAACATCAGGGAGGACTAGGGATGGAGCAAGACCCTTGGTATTCATATATCTATGCAGAGACTGTACATTTATTCCCGCTAAATACATCTTTTCCTATTGTTTTCTAAAAGTGTTCAATGAGAGTTCTTACTAAAGGGAAGTCCTAAACTGCCCAGTAACTATTTTACCTCGAGATACTCTAGGGCATGGCTAAAGATGAACTATCTCCCACCAAAAGTCGCTAAGTTATGGGCATTTGCTCAACACATAAAACAATATGACTGCCATTAAAGTAAGATAGAAATGATTAGTCCCAGTTGAGATTGGAGCTAGTGGAGAAAATGCAAGTAGTCTATTCCAGAAGGCAAAGCTGCAGAGAAATAGCTACTCCATCAGAGGTTCAGTTTAGAGAGAGTTCTGAGAAGAGAACACTGAAATTAAGCACCCAAAGATTGAAAATCGATAAACGGATTGATGAATTAAAATTAGTAAACTTTAACAACTTTTTTTTTTTTCTGAAGTCAATCACCATAATAAACTATAGATTCCAATTAAGGGCTAGCCCCTTTATTTCTTTATCTACTTCCTGTCCCATTTGTGGATATCATATGCCAAAACTCAGTAGGATCAAAAGTAAATTTGAATATTTGCTTGGGAGTGATCCAGATCCCTAGTATTTTCTTCAAATGCTTGTTGTTGTTAGGTGCCATCGAGTCAGTGCCAACTCATAGCGACCTTATGCACAACAGAACGAAACAATGCCTGATCCTGGGCCAACCTTGCTGCTGTTGCCACGCTTGAGTCCATTGACGCTGCCACTTGGCCTATCCATCTCATTGGGGGTCTTCCTCTTTTTCTCTGACCTGCCACTTTACCAAACATGATATCCTTCTCTAGCAACTGGCCCCTCCTGACAATATGTCAGAAGTATGAGAGACGAAATTTGGCCATTTTGGCCTCCAAGGAGCACTCTGGCTGCACTTCTTCCAAAACAGATCTATTGGTTCTTTTGGCAGCCCATGACACTTTCAGTATTCTCCTCCAACACCGTAACTCAAAGGTATCAATTGTTCTATGGTCTTCCTTATTCACTGTCCAGCTTTTGCATCCATATGAGGTTATATGTTGAGAAACAACAGCTTCACAATTTGGTATCTGTGTTTAATACGGAGTTCTATGATTTTATAGCCATGTTTCTTGACTTACTTTCATATATAGATCCCAGACATCCTGAAAGGCATAAATATTTTTCATAATTTAACTTTTCAGTTTAATAAAGGCTTGCATATGATATTATGCTTGAAATATACAGCATTAAGCTTTTTAAAGTGTTGAAGAGCAAAGATGTCAGCTTGAAAACTAGGGTGCGCCTGACCCAAGCCATGGTATTTTCAATAACCTCATATGCATGTGAAAGCTGGACAGTGAATAAGGAAGACCGTAGAAGAATTGATGCATTTGAGTTATGGTGTTGGAGGAGAATATTGAAAGTGCCAGAAGCTGCCGAAATAACCAACAGATGTAAGAAGTGCAGCCAGAGTGCTCCTTGGAGGACAAGATGGCCAAACTTCGTCTCTCATACTTCGGACATATTGTCAGGAGGAAGCAGTCGCTGGAGAAGGATATCATGTTTAGTAAGGTGGAAGGTCAGAGAAAAAGAGGAAGACCCCAAAACGAGATGGATTGGCCAAGTGGCAGCATTGTTGGACTCAAGCGTGGCAACAGTAGGGAGGTTGACCCAGAATCAGGCAGTGTTTCGTTCTGCTGTGCATAAGGTCACTATGAGTCAGTACCGACTCGATGGCACCTAACGACAACAACAAATATACACACGTATGTGGGAGGTCTCACTATATGAATTAAATTTGCAAATACTGCTTCTGTGTTACAGGGAGGGGAGAGAATAAAAAATTGATTAGTCTCTGACGAGAGTAAAGAAAACTAACCTACAGGACACCTAGAGTCTGTCTGTATAGATGGATGATTAATGGCCTATAATGACTACCCTTACTGGTCTGACATCAGAAACCTTTTAAAGGCCTAACTGGGCAGTCACAACCTACCTTTATGGCTTCATCTTTTGCCATACTACATAATCTACGCATCCCTGGACATGGGCTGCCCAGTAAATGTACTCTCATTCCTTCTTTACCTTTTCCAAATATATTTAAGGCCCTCTTCAGATTTTATTTCCACCATGTTGTTTTCAGTCTTGTTATGACATGATTTGGAGCTTGACATAGTTTGTATGTGTTTTATGAATGTCTACCTCTCCCCAAAATTGCAGATCCTTTAGTGACTGCGATTGTAGAATGTTTATTTTAGCTCCCTAGTACTTGGCATGGGGCTTTGAACTGTAGATGTTCAGTAACTGTTGGATTTCCTTTGTTTGGATTAGGTACTTTGCAGCAACTCAGTTTGAACCGCTGGCAGCAAGATCTGCTTTTCCTTGTTTTGATGAACCAGCATTTAAAGCCACATTTATCATCAGGATCATAAGAGATTCGCAACACTCTGCTTTGTCTAATATGCCTAAGGTACTGTTTTATTCTTTGGAATGCCAAACCAAGAGTGGGCCTCTAATAGAACACTGAATTCATCTTTTCCAGGACACTGTTGAGTATGACTAAAATGATATATATTTTCATTCTTTTTTAAAATACTTAGTTAAAGATGTATGTTAGAATTGACTGGGAAACCAACTTCAGGAGCACCTAGAAGAAAGAAAAGGGCATAATTACCTTGGAATGTATGGGTAGGAAATGTGGAGTATGAACTATGTACTAAAGATGTGCAAATATTTAATAGTATGCATAGCCTCTGAAGAACAGTGTTGGGGTTTTTAACTAAGTAGAATACCTGTATTACAATGTAAAGACTGACTACAACAACAGAATCTTCTGTGTTAAGTACTGGGATTAGCTCTACCAGTGAGTCAGTGAGGGCCAGGATATGACCATGCACTATTGTTTTTATGCTAAACAGGTCCTAAGGGAGTCTTTTTGTTATCTCAGACATTTGAAGGGCTTTGTGCAGCTTGATAGAAGTCTCCTGGAACCCATGTGGTTAGGAGAGAGGAGCAGCTATGCCCCACTGGTTGTGGAGTCAGCATCTGTAGGCAGGAGAGGGATATGATCCTCTCCTTTAACAAAACTTTCTACTCCCAACCATGTCTTCAATATTCTTAAAAGATGTGAATGCCTACTTGCCTGCTATCCCAAAACCTATCGTAATTCATGGTTAGAATTCCTGCAGGGTCACATGTATTCCCTTACCCTGGTGCCTCTTAAAACCTCATCTAGTGATTTATTGCCTTTGATTTCACTGGGTGCTCTTTCAGACTCCTCAACATAGCACCCTTAAGAAATCATTTCACATTATTTGAAGGGTTAACAACTTTTGGCATCTCAGAAATAGCTCCTTATTCTGTAAATGCAACTTTTAGCAATAGAGTGGAGCACTCATACAATATAAGTAAGGATTTTGGTTTAGGTTGTGTAAAAGGAAGGAAAAGAAAATTATTACTTATTATCTCTAACTTAAATTTAATTAAAGCTATCTTTTATAGTCTAGGGTCCTCATGATGAAGGATGGTAGGACAGACTGTGAGAGTTAGTTCTATGCTCTGTCAGACATTCTGAGTGATTAAACTATCCCAGGGTCTTCACCACCTATTTCCTATTTGATTTTTCACTTTCTCAGTTCATTTGTCACTGTCATTGATTCCCATATGTCATCCTTCTCCTTTTTGGCTTGTAGAAGTCATCAATCGTTATGGAAGATGGACTCATTCAGGATGAGTTTTTTGAGAGTGTGAAGATGAGCACTTACCTGGTTGCTTTCATTGTGGGAGAGATGAAGAACCTGAGTCAAGACCTTAATGGAACCCTGGTATGTGATTGTGATTAATGTTTGAAAGCCTTTCCCCAGTAAGAGGAATTCTTGCTTTGATGATTCCTGGTGACTGCCTTGTAAAGAAGAAAAAAGCTCATGAATCACAACTCTGACATTTAAAGCCAGTACTTCTTTGGTATAACTTTTATTTACCGTTACTCATTTAATACAGAAAAATCAAGGATTTTTTGCTTTCTTTTCATTTTACTTTTTGAGAATTCCAGAAAGACAGTGCATGTACTCTAAAGCTTCAGAAATGGTGTCGTACAATATAGTAGTCAATAATTGCTGCAATCATACACTGACAGAGAACTTCCAGAGATTCAAGCCGGAGTCAGAAGAGGCCGTGGAACGAGGGATTTCATTGCTGATGTCCAATGGATCTTGGCTGAAAGCAGAGAATATCAGAAGGATGTTTATCTGTGCTTTATTGACTATGCAGAGGCTTTCGATTGTGTGGATCATAACAAGCTAGGGACAACATTGCAAAGGATGAGTATTCCGCAACACTTAAATCTGCTCATGAACATCAAACAGAACATGGGAACACTGGTTTAAAATTAAGAAAGGTGTGCAACAAGGTTATATTCTTTCACCATACTTATTCAACCTGTATGCTGAGCAAGTAATCTGAGAAGCTGGGTTATATGTAGAAAAACATGGCGTCAGGATTGGAGGAAGACTCATTAACAACCTGAGATATGCAGATGATACAGTCTTGCTTGCTGAAAGTGACCAGGACTTAAAATATTTACTGATAAAGATCAAAGATCACAGCCTTCAGCATGGATTGCATCTCAATGTAAAGAAAACAAAAAATCCTCACATTGGACCAATAAACAACATTATCAGTGGAGAAATGATTGAAGTTGTCAAGGACTTCATTCTTGAATCAATTATCAACACTCACAGAAGCAGGAGTCAAGAAATCAAATGACGTATTGCATTAGGCAAATTTACTGCACAAGATCTTTTTAAAGTGTTGAAGAGCAAAGTTGTCAGCTTGAAGACTAAGGTGTGCCTGACCCAAGCCATGGTATTTCCAATAACCTCATTTGCATGCGAAAGCTGGACAGTGAATAAGGAAGACCGTAGAAGAAGTGATGCTTTTGAGTTATGGTATTGGAGAATATTGAAAGTGCCATGGGCTGCCAAAAGAACCAACAGATCTGTTTTGGAAGAAGTGCAGCCAGAGTGTTCCTTGGAGACCAAGATGGCCAAACTTCGTCTCTCATACTTTGGACTTATTGTCAGGAGGGACCAGTCACTGAAGAAAGGATATCATGTTTGATAAGGTGGAGGGCCAGAGAAAGAGAAGAAGACCCCCAGCGAGATGGAATGGCCAAGTGGCAGCATCAGTGGGCTGAAGCATGGTAAAATAGTGAGGTTGGCCCAGGATCAGACAGTGTTTCGTTCTGCTGTGCATAAGGTCACTATGAGTTGGCACCGACTCAATGGCACCTAACAACAATAAACTTTAATTAAGCCACCACTCATCTGTCAGTTTGTTGTACTGTGGTTGCTTGCATGTTGCTATGTTTTTGGAAGCTACACCACAAGTATTTTAAATACCAGCAGAGTTACCCACAGTGAACAGATTTTAACTGTGCTTCCAGATGAAGACAGAGTAGGAAGAAGGAGAGACAGACTACTTTGGAATATTTGGTCACTGAAAACCTAATGAATAACAGTGGAACACTGTCAACACCAAAATATTGTCATGATGAGGAGCACCAAATATTGTCAGATGATGGTGCTGAAAGATGAGCCCCTCAGGTTGGAAAGCACTCAGAATACGACTGGGGAAGAGCTGCCTTCTCAAAGTGGAGTTGACTGTGATGAAGCAAATGTAGTAAACCTTTCGGGACCATCATTTGCTGAAGGGGCACAACTTTTAAATGAAGAGAAACAGTTGTAAACATCCATTAATAATCGGAACATGGCATGTATGAAATATGAATCTTGGAACATTGGGCATTGTCAAAAGTGAAATGAAACGCATCAACATCAATATCCTAGGCATACGTGAGTTGAAATGGACTGGCATTGGCCATTTGAATCTGACAATCACAGGGTTTACTATACCAGGAATGACAAATTGAGGAAAAATGGCATCACATTCATCATCAAAAAGAAAATACCAAGATCTGTCTTGAAGTATAGTGCTGTCTGTGATAGGATAATATCCCCGATGCCTACAAGGAAGACCAGTTAATACCACTATTATTCAAATTTATGCACCAACCTCTAAGGCCAGGGATGATGAAATTGAAGAATTCTACTAACTTCTTCAGTCAAGATGTATTGATAATTACTGGTGATTGGAATTCAAAGGTTGGAAACAAAGACATCAGTAGTTGGAAAATAGCCCTTGGTGATAGAAATGATGCTAGAGATCAGATAATAGAATTTTGCAAGATAAATGATTTCTTCATTGCAGATACCTTTTTTAAACATGAAAGGCGACTATACACATGGACCTCACCAGATAGAATACACACAGAAATCTGTGAAAAGAGACAGTGAAAAAAACTCTGTATCGTCAGCTGAAACAAGACCTGGGGCAAACTGGACCAGGCCACCAATATGCAAGTTCCGGCTGAAGCTCAAGAAAATTAAAACAAGTCTAAAAGAGACAAAATATGACCTTGAACACATCCCACCTAAATTTAGAGGTCATCTTAAGAACAGATTTGATAAATTAGACACTAAAGATTAAAGACCAGAAGTTATGGATGACATCAAGAACATCATAAAGGAAGAAAGCAAAAGGTCATGAAAAAGACAAGAAAGAAGGGAAAGACCAAAATGGAAGGCAGAAGAGACTCTGAAACTTGCTCTCCAGCATAGAGATTCTAAAGTAAATGGAAGAAATGAGAAGAGAAAATTTCAAAGTTCAGCTTGAGAAGACAAAGTCAAATATTGTAACTAAATGTGCAAAGAAGTAGAAAACAACAGGGAAAAATAGAACATGCTCAGTGTTCCTCAACAGAACACGCTCACTGTTTCTCACGCTAAGGGAACTGAAGGAAAAATGTAAGCCTCGATTTGTAATATTGAAGCATTCTGTGGGCAAAAGATTGAATGATGCGGAAAGCATCAAAAAAAGATGGAAGGAATACAGAGTCATTGTACCAAAAAAAAAAAAAAAAGTGTTCAACTATTTCAAGAGGTAGCATATGATCAAGAGCCAATGATACTGAAGGAACAAGTCCAAGGTGCATGGAAGGCATTGGCAAAGAACAAGGCACTGAGAATTGATGGATACAAATGGAAATCTTTCAATACTCTGATGCAGCTCTGGAGGCCTTCACTCATATATGCCTAGAAATTTGGAAGACATCTACCTGGCCAGCTAACTGGAAGAGATCCTTATTTGTGCCCATTTAAAGAGAGGTTACCCAATGGAATGTGGTAGTCATCAGATGATATCATTAATATCCAATGCAAACAAAATTTTGCTGAAGATAATTAAAAAATGGCTGTGATCATACACTGACAGCGAACTTCCAGAGGTTCAAGGTGGATTTAGAAGAGAACGTGATATAAGTGATATAATAGCTGATATCAGATATGTCTTGGCTGAAATCAGAGAATACAAGAAATATGTCTACCTGTGCTTTATTGACTATGCAAAGGCTTTCAATTGTGTGGATCATGACAAACTATGGACAGCATTGCAGAGAACATGTATTCCTGAACACTTAATTGTGCTCATGAGGAACCTGTACATAAACCAAGAGATAGTTATTCAGACAGAACAAGGGAACACTGAATGGTTTAAAATTATCAAAGATGTGCAGCAGGATTGTTGTCTTTCACCACAGTTACTCAGTTGGTATGCTGAGCACATAATCTGGGAAACTAGACTATATGAAGACAAATGTGGCATCAGCATTGAAGCAAGAGTTATTAACAACCTGCGATATGCAGGTGATACAGCATTGCTTTGCTGAAATTGAAAAGTACTTATTATACTTACTGATGAAGATCAAAGACCACAACCTTCGATATGGGTTGTACCTTAATTTAAAGAAAACAAAATCCTCACTACTGGACCATTAAGGAACATTGATGTGAATGGAGAAAAGATTGAAGTTGTCGAAGACTTCATTTTGCTCGTATCATCCGTCAGCACTCATGAAAGCAGCAGTCAAGAAATCAAATGATGTATTGCATTAGACACATCTGTTGCACAAGACCTCTTTAAAGTGCTGAAGAGCAAAGATGTCAGTTTGAAGGCTAAGGTGCGCCTGACCAAAGCATAACCTCATATGTATGTGTGAAAGTTGTACTGTGCATATGGAAGATCATAGAAGAATTGATGCATTTGAGCTATGGTGTTGGAGGAAAATATTAAAAGCACCATGGATTGTCAAAAGAACAAACCAATCTGTTTTGGAAGAAGTATAGCCAGAATGGTCCTTGGAAGCCAGGATGGTTAGATTTTATCTCTAATATTTGGATATATTATCAGGAGAGATCAGTCCCTGGAGGAAGGATATCATGATTGGTAAATTGGAGGGTCGGAAAAAAAGAGGAAGACATCCAATGAGATGGATTGGCACAGTGGCAGCAGCAATGGGTTCAAACCCAGCAACAATTGTGAGATTGGCAAAGGACCCGGCAGTGTTTTCAGGATAAGGCTTTCTCCCTGTTGATTCACAGTTTAAGAGGAAGGTGTTTGTCTCCCATATAGTTAAGGACTCCTGGTGTGGTGCTGTAGGAATAGCAGTGGACTGTGAGCCATAGGGTTAGCAGTTCAAACCCACCAGCTGCTCCTTGGAAATCCTATACAGGGTCACTAGAAGTCGGAGTTGTCTAGATGGCACACAACAACAACACATAGAGTTAAAGAAAGTGAGAGTGGTATGCTCAAGGGCCTAGAATTAGTAAGTTGTGGAGGAGGGATTTGAATACAGGTTGACTCACAATTCAGGTTTAACTGCCCAATAGTCCTTTCAAGGTTGTACATTTTTGGAAGCAGACTGCCACATCTTTGACCCATGGATCTACTGATGGGTTGAGTCAGCCTTTCTTTTGAATAGTAGCCTAGCACTTCACCACCACACCACCATATGAGAAAACCCACTGCCATCAAATTTATTTTCACTCCTAGTGGCCCTGTAATAGGGTTTCCAAGGCTGTGAATCTTTAGGGGAGCAGAAAGCCTCACCTTTCTTATTTATGTGGAGTGAATGGTGGGTTTGAATTGTCAACCTTGTGGTTAGCAATCCAATGCTAATATAGTTACTTTCTTACAGTTCCCACTAGGGCCCCTTGCCATACTATCAATGACCAGAAATTTAGACTTAACGTCTAACAAAGGATTTTTATTATGCTAAAAGGTTGTGATCCTTGTGTGTTAATCAGGGTTCTCAAGAAATAGAATCTCTGATACACATATGCGCATACATGCATACAGACATGTTGTAGTTGTTAGGTGCCATTGAGTCGGTTCCGACTCATAGCGACCTTATTCACAACAGATTGAAACACTGCCTTGTGCTGTGCCAACCTCCCAATCTTTGCTATGCAAGCCCACAGTTGTTACCACTGTGCCAGTCCATCTCTTTGGGGACTTCCTCTTTTTCTTCTGACAGTCCATGGTACTTTTAATGGTCTCCTTCAAAACCATAACTCGAATGCATCAGTTCTTCTGCGGTCTTCCTCATACACTGTCCAACTTTCACAGGCATATGAGGTTACTGAAAAGAGCATGGCTTGGGTCAGGCATACCTTAGTCTTCAGACTGACATCTTTACTCTTGAACACTTTAAAAGAGGCCTTGCACAGCAGATTTGCCTGAAAATCCAAGCAAAATGAAGTCTTTGACAACTTCAATCTTTTCTCCATTTATCATGATGTTACTTATTAGCCTAGTGGTAAGGATTAATGTTTTCTTTACGTTGAGGTGAAACCCATACCTAAGGCTGTGGTCTTCGATCTTCATTGGTAAGTATTTTAAGTCCTCTTCACTGTCAGCAGGCAAGATTGTCTCATCTGCATATCACAAGTTGTTAATGAGTCTTCCTTCAATCTTGATGCTGTGTTTTTCCTCATATAACCCAGTTTCTTGAATTATTTGTTCAGCATTCAGTTTGAATAAGTATGGGGAACAACCGCTGGAGCATACCTTTCCTGATTTGAAACCATTCAGTGTCCCCTTGGTCTATGTTACAGGTTCTTCATGAGCCCAATTAAGTGTTCCAGAATACCCATTCTCTGCAAATGTTGTCCATAGCTTGTCATGATCCACACAGTTGAAAGCCTTTGCATAGTCAGTAAAGCACAGGTAAATATATACATACGAGTTGTTGTTGTTAAGTGCTGTCAAGTCGGTTCCAGCTCATAATGACCCTGTATAGAGTTTCCAAGGAGCAGCCGGTGGGTTTGAACTGCTAACCTTGTGGTTCAGTGCTGATCCTATAACGCCATACCAGAAGTCCATATATACATAATACATAAATACGTACGTATAAATATAGAGGTGGCAGCAGAATTTGTTTGAAGAAATTGGCTCACAAGATTTTGCAAATGCCAGGTCTGAAGTACATATGTCAGGCAGCAGGCTTTATAGGTCAGCAGGTTTATGTCTTAATATCTGTAGTTCAGGAGTACATAGTGGAGGGAGAAGAGTGAGTTCTACCAAAATGTATATTTATTGTTTGGAGGCCAAATACACCCTAGTGAACTGATTTACTGTATTAAGTTATATAGTATGGAAGGTTATTACATTAGATGGCATAGAATGGCATCTAGATTAGTGTTTGACCAAACTACTGGAACCATAGCCTAGCCAAATGTCCACATAAAATTCACCATCACATTTAGCATGGCTGATGTTTTGTAATAGTTGATGTTAGTGCTTTTTCACAATTTTCAAGAATAAGACAGTGGAGCTTTCTTTATTAATGCCAACCTTACCAAACAACTAAAACTGTCAAGAGTTGACTGGATTATTAAACATATCCTGTGCAGTGGTAAACATGGCTATGTTGCCTAAAACCTAAGGAAGTAGAGCATTTCTCATTTCTTTTACTGCTGTTCGTTCTTCAGTGTTTCTTAAACCTTTCTCTACCTTTCAGTAATGTCAGAGTGATTAAGAAAATTCTAAGCTAGTTGTGCAATGCACTGCTTTAATCTATTTGTGCTGAGATGTTTTCAGTTTTTGCTTTTGTTTGTTTTTGTTTTCTTCATGGACAGATCAAGATTGTAGAATCATAATCCAAGCGTGGTTAGTCAGATGTGGACAGTACAGTTGTTGAATAGTGAGAGAAAACTTCTAATTCTAATTGCTTTTTTTTTTTTCAGTCAGGAGTATGATTTAGTTCCAGATTTCTACTTAAAACAGTTCTAGCTCAAGTATGTCTCTCTTTTTATTTTTTATTTTTTTTGACTTGTGTGGTTTTCTAGAAACTTTTTATTGAGAATTGAGTGAAGTCTTTTAGACAAGATCATCAGTTTTACATTCATCAAATCACACTTTGTTTCATATTAATGATTACAATTCCCTCCATACAACAACAGTCATTCCACTTCCTCCCTGTGGTTCCTATTTGCATTCCATCCAGCTTCCCATGTTTTCTCTACTTTGTCCTTAGGAAAATGTTGCCCTTTTGGTTTTGAATAATTGAACAGTCCATGGTGAGCATACCTTACTAGTGCTATTGTCTTTTCATGCAATCAAATAGAAAACAGTGTTTCTTTTTAAAAGCCATTAATTACTTTGACCATAATTGCTTAAAGTTTGGTTTCTGATACTGAAGATAAGACATTTACAGATGGAGTCACCTCTTACATGCTTAACTTACTCACTTAGCCAAAAAAAAAAAAAAAGAGAGAACGAATGGCAATTTCAATAATGTGGGTGATGAGGACTGGCTGTGCCTTCCTTTCTGACAAGAGAGCACATTGGCTTCAGAGTGCTTTGGTTTCTAATACGATTTCCTAGGGTAATGTTGTAAAATGCACAATTTATGCCTTAGATCTTAACTCCATTGTAAGATGAAGCTCTTTTTTATTGAGTGCCTGTAAGCTACAACTACTATAAAATTAAATGAACAAATAATTTTTAATACTTAAAATTGTAATAAAAGGAACCAAAATTATTGGATGTTATGTTAGATAAAAAAATTAAAAGGAACATGTTAAACTCTGTGGGGACTAAAAGAACTATAAACAGAAATTTATAGTTAGAAAAGATAGAATTCTATTGTTGTTAAGTGCTGTCGAGTCAGTTCCGAACCATAGTAACCCTGTGTAGGGTTTCCAAGGAGCAGCTGGTGAGGTTGAACCACTGACCTTGCAGTTCAACCAGCTTTGTAGTCTGGAGCATTAACCCACAGTGCCACAGCAGGACTTCAGAACTCTAGTAAGTTCTCAAATATACTTGACAGTGTTCTCCAAAATATTGGTGGTGGTGGTAGTTATGTGCCATGGAGTCGGTTCCAAATCTTTACAGAAGCAGAAAATCTATACAGAACCCTGTATAGGGTTACTGAGGCTGTAAATCTTTACAGAAGCAGAAAGCCTCATCTTTCTCCCACAGAACCGCTGGTAGTTTTGAACTGCTGATTGTAAGATTAGCAGCCCGACTCATAACCACTACGCTACCAGAGCTCCTGAATATTAAGACATTTTAATTGTACCACTCCTTACATCACACTGTTTCTCGTAGGTTTCTATATATGCTGTTCCAGAAAAGATTAATCAAGTACATCATGCCTTGGATACAACTGTGAAACTTCTGGAATTTTATCAAAACTACTTTGAAATTCAATACCCACTTAAGAAATTGGGTAAGTATCACAACAGTGTTTATATGATTGTGTTATGATTTTAAACTAAGTTCATTTCGGGGAGGAGATTTTGCCAAAATTAAAATGAGAATCAATAAGTATTGTTAATGCTTTAAAAATGGTTTGCAATTCTTAATAGAATTCAGTCCACAAATGTATCTGCATTTGGAGTTTTTAAAACACTTAGAAACTTGTGGTGCTATTACAAAGTTGCTATATAATTGGGTAGTTGTTTAGGCTTAGTCTGGAATTTGATCAATTGTTACTTCCAAAGAAATTCCTGGTTCAAATGATAAAAATTGAGTAATGGGAGTTGAGGAAAGTCAGAGGATTTTTGTACTGTTTGATGTGGGACTGGTCTTAAATAGATGAGTGTTTGCTCTGTACTCTGTCTCTCTTGCTCTGGAAATTTGATTCATTGGGGGAAAGTTAGATATCTTTTCTTTGCTAAGGGAAAGGGAACAGTGATTCCTCAGCTGATGGGTGGATAAGATGTAGGCGAACCAAAATAAGGACGGATTATTAAAGTAACTTTGTGTCTGCTGATTTACAGTAATAAACCAATGAGTAAAATATTTTTATTTAACCAGAAAGGCCCTTATAGAAGGAAAAATCGATCACTTCTTTCCTTTTATATCCAGATTTGGTGGCTATTCCAGACTTTGAAGCAGGAGCCATGGAAAATTGGGGTTTGATCACCTTTCGAGAAGAGACACTTTTGTATGACAATAATACTTCTTCAGTGGCAGATAGAAAACTGGTCACTAAAATCATTGCTCATGAGCTGGCCCATCAGGTATTGGCAATCAAAACTGTTATATTTCATGCGTTGTCTACTTCATATCCTAGGATTTTAGAATAGATTTAGAAAAGCTAATAATACTCACATTTTTATTATAGAATTGTTTTTTTTTTTTCAAAATAAAAAGATAACTTTTTAAAACAATCATAATTTTCAAGTGAAAATGCTGTCTAGTGTTTGTATAGGACTTTATTTTCACAACTGCTTGAAGGAAGGTGATAATCCCATTTTACAGATATGAAAACTGAGACTCATCTTAAATAAATGACTGGCCAAGAGTTGTATAGCAAATAAGTGGCAGCACTGAGCATTATACACTACCTCTTCAAGATCTCATTCTCTTCCCACCCCTAACCCCAATAAAACACAGTTACTTTATGTCTGACAAATGCCACCTGCTCAGTATAGCTTTCTGGGAAAGAATCTTTTTCTCTAACTTGTACTCTTTTCTGACAACTTTTGAAATGTAGTGCTCAGAATTAGTATCATTTTTTTGTACCTTGCTAGAACTAGGTTCATTTTTATTATTGGAAGAGGGAGGTCTTAAAAAAAAGAATGAGAATACTCTTTGTATGGCTTGGAGGGAGGGAGGGAGAAAACTCCCCCAACACCTTGCCCTTTTATTGCTCTTGGTGAGGCGCCTGGCAGTGTTGGTTATGGTTTGGGGAATATTGTGATGGTGGCAGGATATGAAGGAAGAGTATGACATGCTGTGGTCAGTTTACTCTCTAGCTCACAATCAGTCTGTAGGACTGTGTAGCCTCTCTTTTCATGAAATCTTCTCTAGCTCAAATACAGTCTGTAGACTAGAATCCAGGATGATCTACAGCCTACAGATTGGATTTGAGCTAGAGATTTCTTGACAAGGTTGCATATGAAACACATACTTATTGACTATGAACAGGTTGTCTTTTGGGGGCTCTCTTCTAGGTCTGTTATTTCTGGGGCCACCCAGCTCCACTTAGGAAATAATTTTTTTGTTACTTTAGGACTGATAAATCATCTTTTTCTGAAATAGGATTTAAGATAGTTTCTTAGAGAAATAAGCTGTTGTAATTCTCAAAAGTGTTTTGTTTGGTGTCTAATAGAGGAGCTCTGGTAGCGTAGTGGTTACCAATCGGACTGCTAATCTCAAGCAGATTGAAACTACCAGCTGTTCCGCGGGAGAAAGATGAGGCTTTCTGCTCCTGTAAAGATTTACAGCCTCGGAAACCCTGTACAGGGTCTTTATGGGTTGGAATCGACTCAATGGCACTTAACAACAACAGCAACAACCTGAGTCTTTTGCTGCTGGTTTGAGAAAAGCCCTAGGCCACACTGACTAAAATTGCAAACTCTATGACTACTCAGTTTCAAGGGTTTTTGAGATCCATTTTTTAAGGAGTCTCCTCTCCTTTTATTTTTCAAATCTTTTTTTCATACTACCTCATATGAGAAGACATTTAAAGATATCTATGATGACAGTTTTATATGTACATGCCAGCTTTCTTAATGAATGATGTTTAAGTTAACAGACAAGAGACATTAAGTTTGGGCTCTCTGATTATAAGAAAATTTCTCACATAGACACTTATTTTTTAGTTGTCACAGATTGTAGATGAGATGGAAAAATAATCGTATATGCTAGTTTGTGACTAGAAGGCAGAAGAATTTGATTACCTGGGTAATATTACATTTAATGACATACCTAAAAAGTATGTATTTACCTAATATTAAGCATGTGTATTGGACTCTTGATGTGACGCTGTGGGATCAGCACTGGACTGCGAACCACTGGGTCCACTAGCTGCTCCATGGAAACTCTATACAGGGTCACTGTGAGTTGGAACCAACTTATGACACTTAACAAGAAGAAGAAGCATGTGTGTTAATTTGATAGTCTTAAGCTGATAGTCTTCCTTGCTTGCTTTTCCATTCACTTAAAGTAAAATGTTAAAATTTGTTTTATTTTTAAAGTAAAATTATACAACTTTTATAAGCTTCAAATTCAGTAAGTTATTAGAAAATTCCCAAGAATGTAAATATAATTTGGTTAGTAATGTGTGTCTTCCCACAGTGGTTTGGTAATTTGGTAACAATGCAGTGGTGGAATGATCTCTGGCTGAATGAAGGTTTTGCCACCTTCATGGAGTATTTCTCTTTGGAAAAAATATTTGAAGAGCTCTCAAGTGTAAGTATGGTGTTCTTAATACCATGAATGCTAGTGGGAAAACAGCTCATTTTTGTTACATGCTGAAGTAACAAAAATGTCTTTTTTTAAATGCAGTAAAAATGACTGTTAAACATTATTTATACTTTTTGAAATTTCACAATGAAAATAACATATTTGTTAATACTGTTCAGTGGAAGTGGAAATTACAGTAAAATTTTATTAAGATAAATATTTTTAATTGTTTTGCTGAGTTTTAATGGCTGTGACTCATCTGCACAAAGGAAATTTAGATAAGGTTAAAAGCCTTTTTCACAGATGAAAAAACCCTTTATCCTGTATATAATATAGTGACAAAATGAAGATATTTTGAAACAGTGTTGTGTATTATTAGTGTGTGGATTCTTGTAACAGACAAGTAGTTGATTCAGATAAATAATTGGACCTTTTTAGGCACAGATCATATTTTGTGCTTTGGAAAACCAAAGACTAGGAAACCTCATAATGTTTTTCACTGTTTATTCATTCCCTGGAGGTATATTCTATCCTTAGAAATAATTAGGGCTACCATGTGATAGATATTGTAAAAATAGTTCAAGCAATAGATGGGAGAATATGGAGATCCATGTTTTGTGACTTTTTTATTAAACTTCCTGGAGCTGTGATCCAAGCTATAAGTACTCTTAGAGCTTTCACACTAAAATTTCTGTATAGGCATTGTTCAAAACTTTCAGGTGGTAAGTAGAACTAGGTTTTAGCCAGAAAATTGGCAAAATATTCTAAATCTGTTGTGTGTGATCTAAGCAATGAGATACACAGTTTTGCCACATGGTGGTGCCCAGAATGTTTAGAAACTTCTAATACATGCTCTAGGGGCACTCATCTACTCAGCTCTCAAGGAATGATTCTTGTTTAAACTACTATGTTTTATTTCAGGTGAACCTCAGTTAAGCGAAATGTTTGTGGAAAAATCCATTATTTTATAATTCCATTTTACCACAAACTTTTTGAAGCCCCTTATAGTGTGACACTGTGGGGTAATGTGCTAGACTGTACAGTCGGTTTGAACTGCAAGGTTGGTGGTTCAGGCTTACCAGTCACGCCTTGGAAACCCTCTAGAGGGTCACTATGGGTCGGAACCAACTCGACGGCACTTAAAAACAACAACATTATATCTTAATAGAAAAGCTGGATTATGTATGAGAAATCAGTTTAAGAAAAAATTTATATAATTTCAGGTTTTATTTGTAAAGTCTGCACTGGTGGTGGTTATGTGCCGTGGAGTCGGTTCTGACTCATAGCAACCCTGCATAGGGTTTCTGAGGCTGTAAATCTTTACGGGAGCAGAAAACCTCATCTTTCTCCTGCGAAACTGCTGTAGTTTCAAACCACTGTGCTACCAGAGCACCTTAAAGTATGCACTAATCTTTTTAATAGTATTTACCTTGAATATCTGAATTTGGCATTTGGCTGCTTTAAGTAAAAGTTAAAAGTTCTTAATTTATCTTTGTGCTGCTGTTTCAGAGATGCTTTTTTCTTGTGACTAGGTTATGCATAAGTTTATTTTTGAATTGAAGAAATATGTAAGAATGGCAGTTTTCCTACATTTTCAAAAGCTTATACTGGTCATTTTTTCGTAATGACTTTAAGCAGCTATTCGTATAATGTGTATGAATAATTACTGTACTTAAGTTTGCTATTGATACTGTCTATTCTTGATATCTCAAACTATTTAATTTTTTTTGTTAGTATGAAGATTTTTTAGATGCTCGATTTAAAACCATGAAGAAAGATTCTTTGAATTCATCTCATCCAATATCATCATCATCTATTCAGTCTACAGAGCAGATTGAAGAAATGTTTGATTCTCTTTCATATTTTAAGGTACTGCTATGCACCAAAAAAAAAAAAAAAAAACCTGGAGTAGTCCTGAAATTAATAACAGATGTGAGCAGGCTACATGATTTAGGTTATTTTAAAGATTAGGTCATATTTTCAGTTGTCGTTTTAGCTCTAATTAAATTGGGCTTTTAGATGTTCGCCTCTATTTTAAATCTTGGCTGCAACATTTTGTGAGTTTTTCCTTCTTTCTCTGTCTTTTAAATTGTGAATACATTCCAGGCAGTTAACCAGGCCTTCTAGCACTAGAGAGAATAGGTTTTCCTGCTATCCAAAGGTAGAGAGTTCCTATGAAACTTTTCATAAGCAGAAATGATGTGAAGGAAAGATGCAATTACCACTAATTAATGTGGAAAAAATTTTTTGAGCATTTCAGACCCAAAAAATAACCTGTCAAGTTATACCAAATGACACCTACGACCTAAAAGAACATAACATACAGTATTCACAAACACAGTTAAAAACTGTGGCAGCTTGATACTGAGATGCTGAGTGTAGTTTCCCAGGATGGAACTTGACGATGCCATTCTCACTGCTGGGATGCCTGCTGCTGCTTTAAGGGCTTACTGCAAAATAAACAGTGAATGCTAGTTTTGATTTTCACCTCTTTGCATTTCTTTCAGTTAGTGAGAACAGATACTAATGTAGTTGTTCTGTAAAAGTGAGATTGTATAAATGATATCAAGTATAGTTTTGGAAAGGGAGATCTGTATCTATTAAAGTTGGTTTATTACTCTCTAGATTGACATGTAGAGTATGTTCAGGGAAGAAAGGCCCTAAACAAGCCCAAAATTAAGAGGTCCCAGCAGTCTCCCGAGACCGGAAGAACTAGACCTGAAGAACTAGATGGTGCCTGGTTACCACTACCAACTGTTCTGAAAGGGGTTACATTAGTAGTTCTTGAATAGAGTGGGAGAAAAAATGTGGAACAAAACTCAAAATAATAAAAAAGACGTTAATAGTTGGGTAGAGACTAGTGGAACACCCCTGCCCCCAAGACTATGGTCCTTAGCCATCCTTCAGGACTGGAACTGAACTTACCCCCATGGCTCAGCTTTCACCCAAACAATATCCATGGGGAACAGTAACACCAGGGAGTAATTAACTTACCATAGAGGAATTAACCATTTGAGATCAAAAGGATAACATTTACTCAAGGACCAAGTTCAGAAGGGTTACCAAAGGAAGAGGAATGGAACCACCGGGAGGAAGTGAGATATGTGATGTTACACTGAGGGGATTTCATTCAGTGAGATGAAAAACGATGTGTATGAATGAATGAACAGGAAACTAATCTGCTCTGAAAGTCACTGAATTCACAATTTAAAAAAAAAAATTGCAATGTGTTCTAAAGTCAGGATTGTCAAACTAAAGTAATTGATTTTAAAATGAAGGAGTAGATTGCAGGGTCCAGATCACTGCAGGTTTGAAACAGAAGCTTAATTGGTGTGACCAGAGGTCGATGTTAGTTAGATTTGTGGGGTCAGGGGGCGGGGAGGGGAGGGGATGAGTCTTGTGATGTATTTGCATCCTTATTCAAGGTTATCAAATCAACTAATTAGTAAATTGAATTTTTGGTAGAGAAGAAACTTCAAAAAGTGTGTCATATTTCATCTTGTCAAGAAGCTTATGGTTTAGGTGGCAGGTACTTGTGAAGCTATAATAAAGATGTTGTTAGATTCTGTCAAGTCGGTTGTGACACATAGTGATCCTTTGCACAATAAAACAAAACCCTACCCAGTCCCTACACCATTCTCACAGTTATTACTACACTGGAACTTATTGTTCCTGTCATTGCTTCAATTCATCTTGGTGAGGGTCTTTATCTTTTATGCTAAGCCTCCACTTTACCAAGCATGATGTCCTCCAGGCACTGGTCCCTCCTAATATTACGTCCGAAGTCCTAGAAAGGAAGCCTTGCCACTCTGGCTTCCAAGGAGCATTCAGGCTGTACTTGTTTCAAGATTGTTGTTGTTGTTGTTAGGTGTCATTGAGTCAGTACCAACTCATAGCGACCCTGTGCACAACAGAATGAAACTGCATGGTACTGGGCCAACCTCACAATTGTTGCCACTCTTGAGCCTGTTGATGCTGCCACTTAGCCAATCCATCTCACTGGGGTCTTCCTCTTTTTCTCTGACCTTCCACCTTACCAAACCATGATATCTTTCTCCAGCGACTGGTCCCTCTTCACAATATGTCCGAAGTGTGAGACAAAGTGTGGCCATCCTGACCTCCAAAGAGCACTCTGGCTGCACTTCCAACACAGTTCTGTTTGTTCTTTTGGCAGCCCATGGCACTTTGAATATTCTGCCCTAACACTGTAACTCAAATGCATCAATTCTTCTATGGTCTTACTTATTCACTGTCCAGCTTTCATATGTATATGAGGTTATTGAAAACACCATGGCTTGGGTCAGGCGCACCTTAGTCGTCAAGCTGGCATCTTTGCTATTCAACATTTTAAAAAGGTCTTGGGCAGCAGATTTGCCTAATGCATTAGGTCATTTGATTTCTTGACTTCTGTTTCCATGAGTGTTGATGGTTGTTCCCAAGAAGAGTGACGTCCTTCACAGCTTCAATCTTTTCTTCATTGATAAGAATGTTGTTTATTGGTCCAGTGGTGAGTGAGGATTTTTGTTTTCTTTACATTGAAATGCAATCCATACTGAAGTCTGGGCTCTTTGATCTTCATCAGTAAATGTTTTAAGTCCTCTTCACTTTGAGCAAGCAAGGTTGTATCATCTGCATACCGCAGGTTGTTAATAAGTCTTCCTCCAATCGTGATGCCACATTTTTCTTCATATAACCCAGATTCTCAGATTATTTGCTCAGCATACAGGTTGAATGAGTATGGTGAAAGAATGCAACCCTGTTGTACACCTTTCTTAATTTGAAACCATTCAGTGTTCCTATGTTCTGTTTGAACAACTGCGTTTTGGTTCATGAACAGATTTCTCATGAACATAATTAAGTGTTCTGGAATACTTATACTTCACAATGTTGTCCCTAGCTTGTCATGATCCACACAATCAAAAGCCTTTGAGTAGTCAATAAAGCATAGGTAAACATCTTTCTGATATTCTCTGCTTTCAGCCAAGATCCACCGGACATCAGTAATAATGTCCCTCATTCCACAGCTTCTTCTGAATCCGACTTGAACCTCTGGAAGTTTTCTGTCAATGTATGCTTTGCATCCGTTTCTGTATTACCTTTAGTAAAACTTTACTCTCATGGGGTATCAAAGATACTGTCTGATGATTTCTGCATTCAGTTGGGTCACCTCTCTTTTTAATGGGCATAAATATGGATCTCTTCCGATCAGTTGGCAACATCATTGTCTTCCAAATTTGTTGTCATAGATGCGTGAGTGCCTCCATTGTCGCCTCACTTTCTTAAAATATTTCAATTTGTATTCCTTCGATTCCTGGTGCCTTGTTCTTTGCAAACTCCTTCAGTGCACCTTGGACTTCTTCCTTCAGTATCGTTGGCACTTGATCATATGCTACCTTTTGAAACGGTTGAACATTGACCATTTCCTATTGGTATAGTAACTCTTGTGTATTCCTTCCATCTTCTTTTGATGCTTTCTGCCTCATTCAGTAATTTGCCCAGAGAATCCTTCAATAACAAAAGGCGAGGCTTGAGAAATCCTGAGCATCTTCTTCCCTTTTGGTTTTCTGACTCCAGATCTTTGTACATTACGTTGTAATATTTGACTTTGTCTTCTTGAGCTGACCTTTGAAATTTTCTGTTCAGCTCTTGGACCTCCTCATTTCTTCCATTTGTTTTAGCTCTCTACACTGGAGAGCAAGTTTGAGTCCCTTCTGACATCCATTTTGACCTTTTCCTTCTTTCTTGTCTTCTTAATGACTTTTTGCTTTGTTCCTGTATGATATTCTTGATGTCATCCCACAGCTCTTCTGGTCTTTCAGTCTTTAGTGTTTAGTGTATCAGATCTCATCTTTAGATAATTTCTAAATTCAGGTTGGATATATTCAAGGTCATATTTTGGCTCTCGTGGACTTGTTTTCATTTTCTTCAGCTTCAGTCTGAAATTGCGTATTGGCAATTGATGGTCTGTTTCACAGTCTGCCCCTGGCTTTGTTTTGACTGATGATATGCAGCTTTTCCACCATCTCTTTGCACAGATGTAGTAAATTTGATTTCTTTGTATTCCATCTGGTGGGGTCCATGTGTATAATCGTCTCTTATGCTGTCTGAAGAAGGTATTTGAAAGGAACAAATCATTGATGTTTTGGAATTCTATCATGCGTTCTCCAGCATCATTACTATCACCAAGGCCATATTTTCCAACTACTGATCCTTCCTCTTTGTTCCCAACATTCGCATTCCAACCACCAGTAATAATCAATACATCTTGATTACATATTTGATCAATTTCAGATTGTTGTTGTTGTTAAGTACGGTGGAGTTGGTTCCGACTCATAGTGACCCCCTGCACAGGGTTTCTGAGGCTGCAGATCTTTACGGTATCAGCAAGCCTCATCTTTCTTCTGCAGAACAGCTGGTAGTTTCAAACTGCTGACCATGAGATTAGCAGCCCGATTCATAACCACTGCGCTACCAGAGCTCCTTAAGTTGGTAGAATTCTTCCATTTCATCCTCACTGGCTTTAGTGGTTGGTGCATAAATTTGAGTAACAGTGGTATTAACTGGACTTCCCTGTAGGTACATGGATATTATCCTATCACAGACAGTTTTGTACCTCATGACTGATCTGAATATGTTCTTTTTTGACAATGAATGCAACACCATTTCTCTTCAATTTGTCATTCCCTGCATAGTAAACCATGTTGTTGTCAGATTCAACATTTATTCTCATGGCATTCCATACATACAATTTCATTTTTTTTCTCCAGTGCCATAACTCAGATGCATCAATTGTTCTGTGGTCTTTGATATTCATTGATGTCTGACTTTAACATGGATATGAGGTAATTGGAAATATCATGGCTTGTGTC